GGTCATTAATGTACCCTGTAAAGTAGTATTGCTTGAGGAAATTTGTCAGATTTCTCAGAAGCCAGTCCGGAGGAGCAAATGGCCTTGTGAAACTAGCGTAGTGCCCATTTAGGGAAAGTGTAAGCAGGTTATTTTTCTAGCTAAAGTTCATAGATTTCCTCTAAACCTGTGGCATGCAGGCAGTCATAAAGTTACTGTTTTAAGAAGAGGGCAGCTATATAAGGATACGGTCAGTCAAATCAAATGTGTGTCTGACTGTGCGTCTTTAAAAAGTGACTGTCCGGAATAGGTAGATGCCAGGTTTCTCAAGAACTGCTCATCCATTTGGGAAACCAGAGAGAAACAAAAAACAAAACAAAACCCCCAGAATTAAGTAAAGAAAGCGGACCCAATGTCTTTATGGAAACCACTTCGGGTTTTTAGAGTGATTACTTTTTGTAGAAGTTAGAACATTTTGGCCGGGCCTCATTTTTAAATTTTAAACCCATTTTAAAGTTAAGGTTTTTTGTGTTTATGGCGCTCCTCACCCACTCATCTGAAAATCCTTGAACTACACACAGCACTTACTCTCATACTCACACATACAGAAGAACTTTCAGACAGATTATTAATGGGGGGGTTTTAACCCTCGGCCTGACAGACGATCCATTTTATGCTATTTAAGTAACCATACGTCCATTATCATTTGTGATAGAGTCAAAATTCAAATGGTTTCAGAATGAAGTGAAGACGTGCTTTTGGGATATTTGGTGTATCAAGGTAGCACAAAGCATTCACAAGGTACTGCTGTCTGAGCACCGGCAGAAAAATAAGCTCCACCTAGGTTTTACCATGTGTGCTTCACATTAGCAAAACTCCTCAACTATTTCTGCACTAGAGAGAAAATTTAGATGGTTCCTGAAAGATAAGAAGTATTTTGTAATTTACAAAATACAGCCAAAATTACAAAATAAGACCTGACAGGCTGTAGAATACTTGGCTGATAAAGGGTTAAAAAACTTGTTATTTTTGTGTGTTGTTTTGAAAGGCATTATAGTGAGAAGTGCATTTAGCCCCGTTTAGATCCAGATTTATTGCATTCATTAGCATTTTTGTTTATTTCAATTTCATGCTTGTAATAACAGATCCCACTTTTCTCTTTTTGCTGGACCAGTGCCCCTCTGTTACAATTGTGTATAATGTGCTCAAAGGAGTCCCCTGTGAGAGACCCCTCATGGGAAAAAAAGGATAGGGTAAGGGTTTGTGTGTTTTCATGTTCACTTGGCAAACCCCAGTACTGAGGGAGGCAAACTTCTGGCAGCTGAGTTACTTTACGGGGAATGGACGAGGACCTTTAAGCCATCAGTAGAGAGAGGGAAAAGCTCTGTTCCCAGGCTATTAATGTGAGCCATTGTAGAGACTGAATTCCCCGATGAGTTGATCAGTGATTAAGTCTGAGCTAATTGTGCTCTTTGACATGACTACAAAAGGATGGCTGCCCTTAAATTGGCCTTAAAGATTTTTGGGGCAAGTGCCAAGATTTTGTATGGATGGGAATTTGTTCCAGAAAATGTCCATTACTGATTGACACATTTTTATTTTTTAATTTTCCAAGCTAAGGCATGATATTTACAGTAGTGTGCTCCTACCTCCTGTTGTCAGTTGTGAACATTTGCAAACACATTTGTCATGGTCTGCATCCTTTGTACTGAATTCACTTCCTGGCTGCCCAATGCTGCTTATTTTGCCTGCCGTTCCGCTGTAGCCTTTAAGGTGTATCCTGTAAAATGGAAAAGGGAAAATGAAGGAAGAAGAGGAAGTCTGTAATTTCTGTTCCTCAAAAGGCATTGCTGAACCTCACTTATGTACTTCTTCGGCCTAACAGCAGAAGAACAGAAGCCAGCGCTATTTAATTTTGTTGATACTTGTGTCTAGCAAATATTAAAAAAAAACTACTTTTATTTTATGACAGTGAAGTTTTTTTGTAATGCTATTTGTCTGTTTTCTTTTTAGTTATCCGGCATCGCTGAGCAAAAAAGATCTCAACACCAAATTAGAGTAGAGTGGAGACCTCAATAAAGCTGTGTTGAAATTGGGCATTTCAAGCTCTGATTGTCAAATTAAGCTTCAGGTATAGAAGTCAGCTTTGATTGGAAAGCAAAAACATGTTTGGAGGTTGTCTTATTGTCAGGAAAGAATGTCTGAAAAACTGAGGCTTTTAATGTATTTCCTATTTTTCATGTACTGAAGAGCTTTAGTACGTTTTCTTTGGGCTGATGCCAGTACATCAGGATCAGGAAGTATATAGTGTTATACAGCATGAAACACTATCCAGGGACATTTCTAGAGTGGGTCCAAATAGTAGTTGTTGTTCAGCAGTTAAAATTGTATAAATGATAGTGATGAGTGATGAGGTCAATCAACTCAGTAGTCTTGTGTTTGTCAGTAAGGTAAAGGATGCATACTTGTGATGATCTAAAAGTTTGCATCCAGAGTAGCTGAAAATATTTTAAAATATTACACCCATACTTTTCTAATGCAGATTCAACTCGATGTTCACGTGTTGGAGATTGCACTCTGCTGCATTATGTTGAGAATATAGCTTGTTTTGAGGCTACTAGCTTCTCTATATTTACATATTTAATTTCATTGAGTTTCCAGGCTATGCTTTAATTATGTCATGTTATCTTGGCTCAAAATTGGCAGCAGTTTTTAGTATGTGTTAAGGATAGCAGTCTTCAAAAGTGCTTTCGTAACAGTGTATAACTTGCTGATGGGCTTTTTTGTCCTTAATAACTTGAGCTGCACGAGCAGAAACATTTTGCTGCTCAAAGCATGAAATTTAACAAAATATTAATTACTTGCCACTTGGGGCCTGATAGATTTATTTCAACATACTTGTAATTTTGTGCTTCATTGTCAAGAGAAAATTGGTCGTATTGTGAGAATCCAGAGTTTCCTTCCCAGTCACTCAGCTGGATCCTTAATTTGTAGGACTGTTGATTTGACAGTCTGGAGACAAATTCATTTCCTAACCAGAATTCTCCAGAAGGTTCTCCGAATCCCTGAAAGTACACAAAAGAAAAGTTATAAAACTGTGTGAAAGTCCTGCAGTCATTGCTTTTCAGTTTAACAAGGAGTACACCAATGGGAGATCAGAATGTGCTACATTTTTGACTATAACATTAAAAGTTATTTTTCCTCTGAATATAAAATATTTAATCTGTTTACAAAATCCAATTTAAGAAAAAAATCACAAATATTCACTTTTACAATAAGAAGTTAATGAAAAAAACATGTCAGTTTTAACTACGCTTGCATTCATAGTGTCAGCCCAGTTGTATCCTACTTGTCGTTGTACAATTTCAGGGGCATTGGCTGTAATAACAGTGGAATTGAATATGATACTTAATGACAAAGAGCGAAAAATATGTATAGCCTCTTTCTAAAATGTGAGGGGGTAAATGCTACTATTATTTTCCTGAACAGAAGATGGGCATTGCTTCTCTGTGTTAGTGGTTACGGTTTGTTCCTTCTTTGAATTACCTCAGAGGAGACAATCTCCAGCTCCTTAAAATATAGTCAATGGCCCAAACCAAATCTGACCACTGTTGGGCTGTTTGATTTGGAATGGAGGCCGTAACCTGGGTAATATTATTTTTAAGGGAAGAATTTCTTCCTCGAAGCTTTTACCTTTTTGTACTCTTGCCACGTACGGTGAAAGTCAACACGGCCGTCAAAGCGTTTTTGTATAACAGTCCAGCCACCTCCTTCTGTCTCCATGTCACAGAAAGCCTACAGACACAATGAAAAAAAGAGGAGTGAATATTTATTCAAATATAATCCTCTGTAAACAGTGCATACTTATTTATATTTTGACCTAGATAAAATAAATGTGTTCTTGGTTTCAGAAGTGCAGTCAGAAGTTTTAAAAAGTATCTAAGGAGATCACAGTTGTAGCTCAAGCATGCGCGTTGCTGATAAAAGTCAATGAACGTTTTAAGCTAACCTCGCTGCCCTTTTTAAAAGACAAAACTGAATTTCTCCTAAAGCAGCATGCTCTGTTTTATTAACTGATATGTCAGATCATGCCTGTGTGAATGTTTATGTACATTTTGAAGATTTTCAGTATGTGCTGGCACTGATACATGTGTGACGTACGAGTGAGTGATTTTTAATGATCTAAAAAAGTGTGCCTTACCCATTTACGGCTCAGTCACACGAGAGTAAAAATAGGATGGCAACATCCTTGTCACTAGGAAGGCAACTTGTGTCCAAACAGTCATGGTCCAATTGGGACTGACTTCACTCTCCAACAGATTAGCGAAGGTTTGCAAATAATTGCTGCTTAATTTATAAATGTGTATGAATTGCCAACATATTTCAATCAGTCTGCATCAATGAGCACAATTAATCTGCAACAGGGGACTCAACTGGTTGAAATAATTTCTGTTTCCAGTCTACTTGAATTGCTTTTTATTGCTTTTGCTGTGTACGTAGATGGCACCAAATTTAAGAGTTTTGTGGATTTTTCACTGTTAACTGCCGTATTGTCACAGATTGCATATAATCATCAACTTGCTGTTCAGTCACAAAGTAATAGCAGACCGTCTTTGTCTTATTTTTGTTTTACCGCAATCTTGAGGCTCCAAAGTTGTTTTAAAGACACATTGATTGCGAGTGTTTGCAGATTTTGCCCTCATCTTCAAAGCAACCGTTTCAAAGGGAACAAGTTTAATGGGCATGGTTGCAGTCATTTTGTTTGTCCCATACCCACCAACCACTGTTTTTTCTAGTATGACTGTAGCATGATAATGTAGCATAAAACCAGCAGAAAACAGTCAGTCAGGCCTACTTTACCTTAACCTCCATTGTACTGTTGGGTAATGTTAGCGTGTAGACACCACTGTTGGTATTTCCTGATTTGTAGACGGCAGCACAGTCCATGAATGTAGTAGGTGTGTCCCGCATCATGACAGTTTTAGGACCTGTAGAAGAAATTAACTTTTTTATTGTAAACAACTCACAGCTGTATAGCATTTAGCTGTCAGGTTGTGCTAAGCTAATATGTTTGGATTATGATAAAAGTTCTGCATGTTTCTTTAGTCTCAAAACTTAAAGTTTAAAAGACTTAAGCTGATGGGAAACAGCTGGCCTAGGTAGTATAAAATCAAATGAAATGGCAACAGCTTGTAGCTTCATCTTAACTGATTTAATGCTATTGGTCTCGACATTTACTTTTAAGTCAAGCTGTCTCAGCCTACATGTAAGGTCTACGGTCGGACCCCTTAGCAAATGTAGGCTGACATAAATGCTACTTAAAAGACCCCCTACTTGATCTTTCATTTTAAAAGAGGTTACAATGGCCTGATGAGGGGCTGCCTCACCTTGAGCGGTGCCAGAAGCGATGTTAGAAATGAGGTTGTTCACAGTGTCCAGTAGCTCCTGCTGCTGATACTGCAGGGCTGTGTTGTTGGTTGAGACTTTGAGCAGTTGCTGCTCCAGCTCACCGATGATAGCCGTCTGCTTCAGTATCAGAGTCTGGAGCTGCTCCTTTTCTTCTTGAAGCGTCTTCATCTCCACCTGCCTCTGCTCCTCCATCTCTTTTACTTTCTTCTCTAGAAAACTGAGGAGAAGCATGCAGGTTCAGCAGGTAGCTTCTTCATTGCCTAAATACTGCTGCTAGTGAATTTGAAAATTTAAAATTTTTCCCATTTTGTTTGCTTTCCTCACCTGTTCTTGTCATTCAGTTTGTTGATGTCGTTTGTTTGGACAATTAGTTGCTTTTCCAATTTGTTGGTTGACAAAGAGTTTTCAAGAAGCTGGCGCTCAATCCGAGTTGTATGATGAATAACCTAAAATTAAAAGAACGAAATGAAGCACAGTGTCTTAGCCATATCTCATTATAGGTCATCCATTGATTCTGTAGATTTGAGACTTGAGATTGTGCTGTAAATGTTTTGTACTGTCTTTATGTCAATTGGTTGCCAATATCCTAAGAATTGGATGGACCCAAATGAAACACTCTTTTACTTTGGATATAATGAAATTAAATATTATTGTGCTTTCAGGTTTAATACAACAGCCAATTTCCTGGAAATAAAAACCTTTAAACATGTAAATAAGTCCTAAATTTAATAAGAGTCAGAGATATCAGTCAAGAGCCAATCTGGACATGAATCTTCGTATTTCGTCACGTTGATCAAGTTAAACTGGGTTTGCGCCTGCAGAGTGAACAAATAACCATTTTAAAATGGAAAAAAACATGACAGGAAAGAACAGCCAAGTTCCAATACAGCAGACATACCTGAACAAGGGGAAACTGAGAATCCACGTATTTTCACAAACCTACGTATTGAACTGCACATGGGGTTGGGGACCTTGCCACCAATTTCCCAGTTCGGAGGAACTGAACTCAGCAAAAAGCAGCTTGTTTACATGGATCCTAGCTGTGTGTCTCCAATGGAGCTGTTGATGTCTTTGAACAGACGGATGTCTGATTGTGACAAACTGATAGACCCTTTCTCTGGGAATACAAGTGTGCTAATAACAGGAAATGCTGTACAGTTGGCTCACATAAGGTCATTGACGTGTAGCCACAATAATAAACTGACGCCATCATGCCTGTTTTTCTCTCTGCTTAATTTTTTTTAACACTTGCAAACGATAATATTTATTGCAGCGTTTCACTGAGTAGGCTGTTATTTCTGCTTTTGAGGAATAAACAAAATGTGCAGTTTCACCTGTGCCTCCACATTGGTCAGTTTCCTTGTTTGCTCAGCAGTTTGACTTAGTAGGTTTGTCCCGATTTCAATCATTGTAGCGGTGTGGTTGTGTACAGCAGTCTGTTGGATTTGGATCATGTCCTGCTTCATGCTGTCCTGTATGTAGCTCTCAAGCTGCAAAAGAGAATGATGATAATTAGGTTTAGACAGTTTTTGTGAGCTACCGATTCTCTTCATCACCTGGTCATTTTGTTGTATATAATCCTGTGTATTAGGGGTAATACAGAGGTCTACATATTGACATTAGTATGGGACACAGAGATTCTGTTTCTCATTGGTTGTGGACAAGCAAGAAATCCGGAGTTAAATAAAATGTTTCTCATGAGCTAAAGCTACTTTCAGGTACTCGCTTATTCACAAGAGGTCACCACAGCAGGCAGCTCCCTTCCAAACCCCCAAAGGGATTTGTGTCTCCTTCTGGGATTTAACGGGCACTAACCTGACGCTTGTTTTGTAAATATGTGAGCCATTACACCTGCCTCCCTAAAACTGTATGGACTCTGATAATATATATTTTTTATAATCTGTAACCCTAATAAATGTAAGTGCTCTGTGTATTTCATTAGTAATGTGGATGATAATGTAAATGTCAGAAATAGGACGATAATACAGTGAAAACATGCACCAAGATTGATTTTTAAGATGGGACCACAGGGATAGAAATTTACAAAGGTTGCCCATCATGAGGCCTTTTCACTGAAAACCTGTCTCGTTTCAGTGTCAAACCTTACGTAACCTTGCCCGTGTCAAACTTCTTAATGATTTAGGGATTTGTTCTCGTCTACCTTACTGTATTGCCAGATTTAGACCCAGACTAATCATTAAGTTATTTCCTGCATGGTGTTCCTGAGTGGCAATCAGGTCACACGACTCGTAAACAGGATGGAAGTGCTGAGTGAGAAGTTACATCCTTCATGACAGTGTGCAACTTGTGTGCAACTGGAAACCAGCGTCAGTTGAATATCGATGTTATCTCCTCTTAGTTTGCATAATCACTGTTGTTATTTATTCATCAGTCAGAAATGCAACGGCAGACATTTTATTTGACTACTAATACTTATGCTAAAACAACCAAAGGCTGCAATTAGTGCTGATTTTGTTTGTCTTCCTCTCTTGCTGTCTAGTTTGTTTATGTTCTCGGATTCACGCAGATATGTGGAAGGGTGTCATTGTTGGCAGGATGTCCCATTGATAGTCAATGATCTAATCAGTTGTTTACTCTGTGTGCCTCAGAGGCATCAGTGAGGCAATGACTGTGTTCCTCAGTCATGTGACAGACATTTTTTCTCCAGCTGTCATCAGTTGGTGCGGCATGAATAGTACTTTCATTAATGAAATGAGTACACTCTAATAATAAAGCACAACAAACCTACTGATTTGCAACTTTTTCTTTTCTAATGTGCAACTTTATTTAAAGACCCCCAGTATGCTTATTTGACTGCTGTGAAGTCCTCTGCATAGATGGAATTGCTTGTTTTTTCAGATTATTTTCTTTTCGTCTAATCTCTTCTATCCATCCACCAAACCATTGATGGATGGAGGTGATGATGAGATTTATAACCTCAGTGAGGCAGGGCTGTGAGGCATTCATTCAAACATGAAGCAGGCAATATTTCAATTCACCTTAGCTGCTTATTGTTTTTTAGGGTTACATGACATACATTTTTCTCAGTGGAGCTTTTAATGAAGAGTTAAAATAGAGTTTGAGCGCTCTGGAAAGCTGTGCCTGAACACGCTCTCACCTGCTGGATTAGATGAGCCTGAGTATCTTTTGCTGTTCTGATGTTGAACAAATATGTCTCTCTTACTTTATTTGCGATGACGGTGTTCACCTCACTTTTAATACACACAACAAATTTCTGCTTAAAATTACTAAAAAGTCTCCCTACAGCTATTGGGTAGCAAAGTCATTGTCACAGTCAGCACAGTTTCCAAATGACACTTCAGTGTCATCAACTGCTGTGAGTTTTCAGTTATTCATTATGGCAGAATTAAGAAATACATTGGTTTGTTTTGTATATTAGTATATGCCTTAATACTTAATATGACATAGTGCAGCTTTTTCACACCTGAGTTGTGAGTTCTTCTCCCTAAAGTGTTAATTTGAGGCAGACATGTAACAGATAAAGGTAAGGGGAGTCATCTTCTGTGCGCAGAGACTGATGTGAAACAGATGAAGTGCGCTGCTCCAAGTAAAACCACATTTTTAGTGCCACATACTTAATTAGCAATCTTCTTTAGTCTGTAAGAAATGTCTGGGCGATCAGTACATTAGACGTGGCTTTGGATAAATGTTCGTTTGTATTGTGAACAGGCTGTGATTTCTGAGGCAGCGCTTGAGTCTTTGTGTGAGTATAGCGCCATGTAACGGATCAGGGTTTGTTTTATGTTACGAGACGGGGATCGTGTCATCAAACTGTGAGATGCTTTTTGTGTTTCTGGCTCGTCTTGTTTCGTTCTGATCATTAATCACACTCAGAAAAGGCCCAGGAAAAGAAACATCTCGCTTCTTTTGCTTGGACATGTAATGGCTCAGTAAACTGAAAGGAAAGTGTGCATCCACTCGTGTGGACACCTGCGCCTGCAAGTCTTTGTCAGTCCGGGTTGAATAAAGGTGTCTCACAGACACTGAGCACATTTTTTTGTGTCAATTTCAAATGTCATTAAATCAAAATAGATTCTCAAAGAGCCTTTCATCCATTCTTCCGTCCATTTTCCCAACCACTTATCCAACTTAAGGACGTGGGAGAGCTTTCAGAAGAGTCTTTCAGTCTTACAAAAACAAGTTTTGTTTTGTTCTTTCTTTTTTGTTGAATATGTGGTTGTTGGTGCTGTGATTTCTTTTAACTGCTTCTATGTAACTACACAGTGAGAGAGAAAAAACTGTTCTTGTTTTAATTTGGTCAAAACTTTCTCATATCAGAGAGCTAGTGGTCCGACACAATGAGCCATTCACCACGTGAAATGTGCAAGTTTCACATAATCATCTGTTCCACCCATAAAAGTATATTTGATACTTGCACGTAAGTGTAGAGGCAATATGGTGAGAGAATAATTTACTAGTCTTTGCCCACGTTGGGACAAAAGATCGGCATGAAAGTATCTCCACTTTGACACCCCTGTGGTGACTCCTTCAGCTCTTCACCACATTTTGTCCTCTTTCAAATCATTGCAGTTTTTGGTACCTACGGAGGCTTTCTGTCATTACTCTTAACTTACTGCGATACAGTTTAACCACTGCGTTTAAATTTCTTTCACTGATGTCAAGGGTGTGACACAACTTTACCTTAAGCAGCCACTGCGTGTTGTTCTCCATGCTGATCTCCAGTTGTTCCAGCCTCTGAATTGACTCGTTGTCCGTAGGTCCGTCCTTCTGGACAGGATAGTTGTAGTTGTTATACTGAGTTTGGCAGTTATCCTGCTCAGGCAGCAGAAACGTATAGCTGCAAGGGCCATTTTGGATTTGATATTGTGTTTTCTCAGCAGCACTGAATCCAGTTCCCAGACCAAGGCACAAGCTTAAAACTAGTAGGTCCACATTCAGCATCTTCATTGTAGATCGAGTTATGTTAAACTTACAAATAAACCCCCTTGGATTTTCAAGGTTTCTTTAATCTTATCTCTATCTGATTAGATATCTTCTTCCAGCAGCATCCAAGTGTAAACAGCTCTCTTGAGTTTCTGCAGGTTCCTTTTATTACCTCTCAGTGGTAGGAGGAGAAAAAGCCATCAGGAATGAGAGGTAGTGTGTCCTAAGGTTGATGGTGCCAGACTGCATGTGCTCGCCTTTCATTAGACCCCTGACCACTTGCTATAGTGCTTTAAACTGTGAGTTTAAACCACACCCCCTTGCCTGTGGCCAGTCAGTGTGAAGAGCACTGAAGTGGAGATTCCTTTCAGTACACGCTCGCTGAGCAACACACAGGAGCAGATGTACAAACTACACATCTTCTACTATATCCTCCACAATACCCACATGTTTTTTTTTGCTTTAGTTGAACAACTACTCAGGATGCAGCTGTCCACCTTCAGCACACTCTTTGATAGTAGCAGCGTCCATCCCATTCATTGAAAAATGTTTCCCGGTTTACAGCAAGCGCCCTGAATGGGAGATTCAAAGGAAGAAGTGTCCATTTCAACTTTATTATTAACCATTTCCTGTTTTGTACATATAAGCAGCACCTACATTAAATACACTGTCCTCTTTTTTTTTAATAAAATTGGTTTATTTGATAAGCTCAAAATTTCTTAAAACTCTAAATAGATTTTCATTTCATGTCATTTATTATTTCCCAGTGGTTCAGAGTGGCCATTTTATGACCTCCGATTAGAAAAAAAAGATGGGTTTTTTTTTTTCATTTGCATCTACTTCAGAGTTTAAATGACATTAGCAGAACCATGATTCACAAGTATAATGTAAGTATAATAAGTATAATGAAGCATTAGATGCTTTTACCCTTGAAGACCAAAAAAGTCACAGGAAAGCTCTTTGTTTTTTCCTTCTTACAAAAAAGAATCCATTTTTACAAAGCAGGTTTTTCTGTTAGGTTGGGAGTTTTAATCTCAGCAAGTTGTGGGTGTTTTCTGTAGCCTAGCCCATTGTTGTTTACACAAGCCCAAAATAGCCCAACAAAACATGGTCCCGCACTCTTACACACAGCAAAGTGCAATTTTTTTAAATTTATTTATTTATTCTCATTTATTTATTTTACAGACTGAATGTTTTTGAAGCCTTCTAAAAGGTGTTGTGATTTTCCAGGATGTTCTGATAGTAATTAGGAGTAATGGAGTATTTCCAGAAACTGTGGTGAACAACACGCCTAAAATGCATGCATTAGCGATTTGTTTTTCTGTGGCCTAAATAATGTTTTGCAGCAGAGAGCAAAACATTATTGTGAAAACTAATGGTTACGTTTGATAGAAAATTAGGGAACTGGCTTCCAGCAGCATGTAATGATACAAGCACGTGCATCCATTTATTTTTATAATAACTATTCTGCAACACACAGAGTGCATACTGTGGGGTCTTTTTGTCCAATTGGAGCACTATCTTGACATGACAAAGTTGTTGTAGGGCTCTGTGACATCAGAAAACTAACCACATGTGTGATGTGTAGTCTAATCACATTTTAGTGGCACCTAGAGGGGTCTTCTCGATGTCAAAATGACAAAAAACTGAATCGGACTAAACTTACAACACACGAACATGCACAATTTTAATGTTTTATATAACACACTGGACTCAAAGTGCAGGCTGAAAAAACAAGGTAAACTAGTTCAGTAACTCAGAACCTCCTTTAGCTGCAGCAGCCTCCATCAAATGTTTCCTGCACCACAAGTAGGAGGAATGTTGAACCATCACTCCTACAAGACTGTTTTAGGTCACCATTATTTCTGGGATGATTTGCTAGAACATTTAATTTCACTGAGTTGCTCATTCGACAACATCTCAGTTGGGTTTTCCTAAACACTGCTTCTCATTGTTTTCAACCTCTGGGTCATTTTCTCATTGCACCATCCAGCCTCTACAAAGCAGCAGGTCATGTAGCTCTCCCCTTACATTTTCTTGTGAAAACTTGTGGAGCGATGAATACATTGGTCTTTCAAAATGCTTTTGTAGATGTTTGCCATCGTTGAGCATCACTGTAATGCTTCTCATATGGTTTTGTCAAAGATGTTGCAATTGAGGCATGGTGCATACCAACCAATATTTCTTGAGCAGATTGATAATTGTAGATTTACATGAATAGTACAGCTGTTAAATATTTATTTGATCCAGTTTGATTTGTTTAGATGACGTTCAGGCCACATTTATGAGCACTCGACGTTCACAAACCTTTTCATGGGACAGTACAAATACCAAAACAGAATTGTAGGAAGTAGCCTGATGTAATAGTTATGGTATAAAGGAAATGTTACACATTTTAAGCACATTACCAAAGAGGAAGGACATGTAGTCATTGCAAAAATATTGACTTTTTCAGGTGTTCAGGCTGAATCACCCACGCAGTAGATTGATCTGCATCACTTTCAGTATTTCAGTTTATTTTACCGTCATTGAAAACTAAGGGAAGGGCAGGAACATCAACAGTGATTCAGTTAAACATACATCCAGTCCAGGGACCATTCATTAATTGAATTTATTACTGCTCCATTTATACAGCTTCCTATTCTGTTAACATATGTAAAGTCTGCCGAGCTGTCGAGAACACAAAGTGTTTGATTATACAAGGATGCTAATTTATTCATCCTGGTTACAGCGCTGCTCATGCTGTCTGTTTGCCTCCACTGCCCTCTCTGGATTCTCACTTTACAAAAAAAAATGTAAAATTTGAATAAATAAAAGGTAATAAAATGCAGCTCATCCATTGTGTTACAATTTTGTACATTTTTGGCATCAGTACCATTTTGTTGGGGTGAAAAAGGTTCTTCCTTCCACAGCCCAAATGCATGCTTATTAGTTTGAACGTGTTTGAATGTGAGCTATATAAAACAATTCAAGTCCATAGAATAAAGTGCTGTATGAATATATGTGAAAAAGGGGGGATCTGGTTAGTCGTAGCTTACTGTAGAAACTCCTCATCATTGTCTGCTTTGTTTCACTGGAGTCAGAAGCACAAATCAAAAACCATACCTGATTTAACTTGACCTTATTTCCCCTTCAAGGTTGCCTCCTGCACCTCTAGACAGCACAGCTTCTCTTTATGTCAGACTCAATTCACGGGACTTTATCAACTTCCCAAAAATGAAAGTCAAAGATTATCTTTTAATACACTGGAACAGATCCAACGTGCATCACAAACGCACAAATTCAGGGGGGCAGAACAAAAGTTCTAGGCATTAATATAAAAACAACAACCACACCGATAGAGGATCTCGACGTGTCGGAGAACCAGACCTAGAAAGTGAGATTGGCTAAATTTAACAAAGATTTTGGACTTTCATGGGTTACGTTTATTGATTACATTTCATATACGATTGCGCTGTTTATAAATTAACTCAAGCATTTTTTTCCACATTATGTTAAAATAAAAAAAGGTTTTAGCATATATGCTGATACTGATGCAGTGGGCTTTAGCTCGTCTCTACCCTTAAAAATTGGTATTAATGTTCGACATTAATAAGATACAAACAGAATTGTGAGTTATGATAAATCTATCTGCAACTACTTTGAGGATAGATGGTCTCTGTTTCTCGTTTGTGTCACACTTTTCACTGTTTCTCTACAGCTTCGACAACAGCTGGACAGTGTTTGTAGAGAAGTCTGTCACTTCCACGCAACCTCACCAATATTCTAGAGACCAGAGCAATAACAAGGATGTTTTTGCCCACAGTATGGGGAATACACATTTTCCTTCATGACCAATGATCATGGACCAATCTAAGCCTTTGACTGGGGACTTATTTGCTTATTTGCTCCTACATTGTCACCGTGATTGTCATTCGTCATAAATGGCAGGCAAAATAATTAATAGACAAACTTCTTCTTGTATGTGTGCTTCTGTTTTTCCTCCCATATTATAGCTCAGATAAAGTCTTTTAATCTTTAATGAGGGTTAAATTTAATGTGATGCTATTTCCTGAACTCTTTCCTCAACAGTGTCTGATTTTGTGAATAAAGACTTAAAACAGACTTCAACTGTTTTTTGCAGGTATTTGACTTGGTATAGAGCCGTTTGCCCCATTCAGTTTATCAGCTGAACCCTGCTGCATACTGTACAGAACTGTCGTGAGAATTTAGAGCATCAGTTACCAAACTTGAAAAGAAAGACCCTCCAAGAAAATCACAGCTTCAGTCAGGCAAAGAGCTTCAAATAAGTCTGAGAACAAGGTGAGCTTAAAAAAATGAAACAAGGCACAGAGGTTGGGATTGTAGTTCAACTTGTTCTTACCTGAGTTTATGTGATTCTAATCAGATTAGAGTTACTTGGATGTATCAGAGTTTGATCAGAATTTATCAATTTTCTACTGCAATAAACTGTATTTGAGTGAGGTTTAGCATTTAGCTGTGGGTTGCAAATGTCTGCTGTTGCTGTCTAAATTGGTCTCATATGCTGCAGTGATTGTGCGTTGGTTTAGGCCGTGAGGGTGTGTGCCTCCCAGCCAAACTGCTGCTTTATCTCCAGCAGCCACCTTCAGGCTATTTTCAGTACTTCAGTGCTGAAACTGGCTTGAAGGAATCAGATTTGTGATTCTGATGAATGCAAATTAGATTTTTGAGGGTCAAAGTGGACACTTTAATTTGCTCCACAGATGAATAACATTTTTGAATTTGACTTGAATTTATTCATCGGCGGCAGCACACATTGGTATCATGTAAAAGCGGTTTCAGGGAAGAGTGCTCTATTTGCCTCTTTTAGTGCCGTGCAGGTTGACAGCACTGATCTTTAAAAGGGAGAGAATTGTTTTCATGTTTATCAGAGAAAGAAAAGCTGTGACTCATATTTATCAAGTTTCCATTTGAAATCTTGGTAGAACTACAAGGGACAAAGGTTTCCTGAAAATCCGAACACAATGAATTCTGGGAAGTGTGCCAAAAAACCTAACAATGTTTGATGGATTAGTGAGCAGTCATCGGGAGATTAAATTGACTCATAATTCCTTGTAAAGTCACACAATATGAGTTCATGATTATTCTGTGTTTGTCTCTGCTTGGCCACCGTGGAGCGATTGTGGTGATGTTTTTGCTTGTGTCCCCTTTTCATGACTGTGTGGGCATGTACAGTTTATACTGTACTAAACCGACAGCTCACTTCCTCACAGACCTTTTTCCCCCCGCAGATGGCATTTTGACACGTCACAGTCGATAAATCTCAGGACTAAATAATGAAAAGAATTAAGAATAAATTGCTTCTTCCTCAGGGCCCTGAAACTGTGCATGATGGCTCATTCTTAATCTGTCATTAACTGTTGTGAGACTGGAATATAATTAATCCATGGTTAATGGTGCTAGTAGCACCTGCATGTTTACTGCTATCACAGGGCAAAATGATGTGAACATGCTTGTGCTTATTAATCCAGTTTGGTAAAGTCATATAATCCCCATTAGAGCTCATAGACTTCATCCACACCGCTGTTATAACACGAAACAATAGGTAAACACGGGTGTTGCTAATGACGTTAATGAGAGTCCTGTTTTCATTTAGAACTGAGCCCAATAACTAATAAAGGTATATCAAATATCAAATTAGTAGCACCTGATGTTAACCACTATTTCATGTAAGAGAGATTTAACAGGCAGAGTGATGACACATCTTTTAAGTTAACGAGTTTTTCTGCAAAGGAATCTCTGTCATTATGTATAGTTGTGATGAATGAGATGTTAAAAGTGGAAAACATTTGATGTGGCAGGTTCAGTGCCTTTAATTTAGCTTTTAGACATTTTGAGTAATGCTCTTTGCCCTGTCAGAAGTTGGATTACAAAAAAACTGTCATTACTATGGAGTCTCTTTATTTGAGTCAGCATCAAGAAACAGACAACAAAGTCTGCCACACATGCAGAGCTGTAACTTTTACACTTCTGTTTTTGTGCAAAACATTTTAATGAACTCTGGATTTGCTGTTAAAGAGCCAGAATAGCTTCTAAGTCTTGTTTCCAGCTTTTGTGCTGAGGTATGCCAATAAGCTGCTGGCACTAACTTCATATACTCACTGGCACGTCATAGGTTACGTCTTACTATTAATGAGTTGGAAGACCTTTTGCCTTCAGAATTGCGTTAATACTTCATGGCACCAATTCAACAAGGTGTTGGAAACATTCCTCGGGGATTTTGGTCCATATTAACTCGATAGCATCACATCACTTGCTGCAGATTTCTCAGCAGCACATCCATGATGCAAATCTCTCACTGCTCCACATCCCAAAGGTGTCCTGTTGGACTGAGATCTGGTGATCTCACTGTCATGTTCAAGTAAGCAGTTTGAGATGATTTGAACTTTGTGACATGCTGCTATATCCTGCCAGAAGCAGTTATCAGAGGATAGGTACACAGTGATCGTAAAGGGACGGGCATGGTCAGCAACAACGCTTGGGTAGGCTGTGGCCTTTAAATGATACTCACTTCATACTAAGGGGGCCAGAATGGGTAAAGATAATATTCAGTTCAGGACAGGTCATTTCGGAAACAGGCTCAGGGAGGCGCAGCTCTCTACTGCTACTGTTTGGTGGAGAACATGCATTATGGAAGTGAGAAGACAAATTTAATGACATGCAGCAGTAGTACATAAATACCTGGGGAGTGGACAGAGGTGAGTAGAGAACTCCTGCAGATCAGATGAGATTAGGCATGCTCACGGTGGTATGGCCGCAAGCATAAAATATTCCCCGCACATCGCAACAGACTGAACTGTTGATTCAAGGCAGATTCCGTGTTTTCATGATATTTATACTGAATTCTGACCCTACCATCTGAATGTAGTCAAATAAAACCAAAACTCATTAAGCAAGTTTTTTTCCCCAATCATCTATTATCCAATTTAGGTGAGCTTGTGTGTATTGTAGCCTCAGTTTCTTCTTCTTAGCTGATAGAGGTGTCACCTGGTGTAGTCTAATGCTGCCGTAGCTCATCTACTTCAAGTTCTGATATGTTTTGCGTTCAGTTATGCTAAAGCCCAAGTGAAGCAGTCTTGCCATTTGTTCTGGCGTGAACAAAGTATTTTCACAAAGAGAACTGCAACACACTGGATATTTTCTTTTTTTCACAACCTTTTCTATAAAGCCTAAAGTTGGTTGCCTGCAAAAAATTCACCATGCTGTCTTTAAAGTTGCTTTAATCACCTTTATTCCTTATTTGTGACGCTGAGATATAATTTTTTTTTATCTTGATCTTGAAGAGCTGCTCAGGTGTACACAACTAAGTGGCTGGTATAAAGGTCTCAAGCTTATTTTCTGAAACAGGAAAACATAGTAAAAACAATGCACCCGTGCAGCATTTGAATGTCCGTTTTCTTCACAGATCTGTCGTCTCCAGAGGCACCTGTCTGCTGGGGAGCACCAGCAGGACCTGTTCCAAGGTCAGCCTGCCATGTTTGTGTCTCAGCACTCGCAGCCGCCCACGCAGAGCCTGGTGGAGCTGATTGAGCTCTGTGGAGGGACAGTCTGCAAAACTGTGCGGCAGGCGGGAATCTGCATAGGGAAATACAGCGGCAGGAGGCCAGAGGGAAGCAGGATCCTGTCTGAGCAGTGGGTGTTGGGTGAGACATATTCTGTTCAGTTCTGTGATTTATCATGTCACTATAATAGCATGTCCCTATTAACTTTGTCTCGTTTTGTGTGGTTTGATTTCAGACAGTATCACACATCTGAAGCAGCTGTCATACGATAACTATGAGCTGGAGTGACCTCCACTGACTTTTCTTATTTTCTCTCTTTTTCCTGTTTTTCGGAGCATGAAATGTAGTTTTAACAATTGAATGTGTGATGGTGTGCGATTGTATAGTTTACCTCATTTCTTCCATGCAGTATTCATCTTGGTCAGATTTCTTATCTTTTTTTGTGTTCATAGATTTTTTGTTAACCCTTTGGCACTGTTGAATAAGAAATAATCTCAGTTACTGTGAAACCCTAACTTATTTACTGTCCTGGGTTAAAGTAGCAAGCACTACTGTGTAAAAAGGAACAAAATAAGACAATGTGAGTTTAAAAATCCTTAATGAGCCAGTTTGACATTGTAATTAGAAAGTAAATTTTGTGTGATTATAAAAAAATTTTGCAATATCTCTTTTGAATAAATACTTTATTTACAAAAAATTGATTTTGGACCTTGTTTCCTGAACTCCTGGATCAAAATGTACGATAAAAATAACTTCTTTTTCTTTGCTTGTTTGTCATCTTATGTATTATTGATTTGTTGTAGTGTAATGAAATGATTACTCCACGAGTGTAACAGCTTGGTCTTGGTCAAAACTCAGCAGTGAACTGAAGAAGTGTGATTGGAGGTTACTCAGCAGGGGCACTGGATGACAGATGACAAGCCTGATGTTTCACAGCTTGGACTCTGACACTTATCATCTTTCCACAGCAGACAGGGAAATAAACACTTTTACATAAATACAGGTGGATAAATGCAACTGTCACAATTTTTTAGAAACACAAACATAATACAGGGAAGATGTTGCCATTTTAACTGATCACTTTTGGAGCTTCGTACCAAGCTCAGTAAACTAAAGAGCAGCGCCAAAGTCAGCATCATAAATTCTGACTCCATGTTAGGTTAGCAAATTTTATCATCATCTGCAGATGATTATTTAAAAAACAGAATATTCTAGAAAGGATTGTAAATACTTTTCAAATCCCAGAAAATGGATCTGGGTTTTCAGTCTATTCTTAGTAAGCACCACATACCTGGCATACTATACCCACTTACCTAAATAACATTTTCTGTGTTTGTAATTGGCCTCATGTCCTCCTGTGTCTGAGTTTTTAGAATAACTCACTGGCTTTGTTAGGTACGCCTGTTCAGCCGCGTGTTATTACAAATGTAACTGGTCATCCAATCGCATAGCAGCAACCCAGTGTGTTTAGTTGTGTAGATGTGGTCAAGATGACCTGTGGATGTTCAAACCAAACAGAATGGGGAGCAAATGTGATTTGATCTGGGCTGATCTGAGTAATTGAAACTGCCTCTCTACTGGAGTTTCTCACACAACCCTCTGTGGGGTTTACAGAGCTTAGTCTGAAAAAGAAAATATTCACTTTAGTTCCCTAGCTAAAACACCTTGTTGAAACCAGAGTTGGCAAGTAAATGGCAAGACTGCTTCTAACTGATGGCAACAGTAACTCATTACAGCCAAGGTGTGCAGAAAAGCATCTCTGAAAGCACAAGACATTGAACCTTGAAGTAGAAGCAGCAGAAGACTGCATCCAGTGCCAGTCCTCTAAGCTAAGAATGGAAAACTGAGGCTACAATTCACATGGGCTCTACAAAATTGGACAATGGAAGATTGGAAAAACTTTGCCTAGTCTGATGAGTCACATTTTCAGCTGGTGGATCAGAATTCGGTGTAAACAACATGAAACCATGGATCTATCCTGCCATGTATCAACAGTTCAGGGTACAGAGTGTAATGGTGTGAGTGATATGTTTTTGGAAAACTTTTGGCCCTTGGTACCAATTGAGCATTATTTAAATTCGTCTCTTTATGACCACAGTGTTCCCATCTTCTGATGGCTCCTTCCAGCAGAATAATGTGTAGTGCTTTTGCATTTTTGGTGTATAGATAGCAAGAGAAACCCACTATGCCAGGCACTGGAGATATCACCTGCATAAATCTGCCAATATTTACATCATCCGCCTCAGTGTTCCTATTAATGAATGTGCATCTTCCCTTTAAAATAAAATAAACAGAAAACTCTGTTATATTTCCAACTATAAATATTACCATTACTATCTTTACTTTTAAAAAATAAGTACTAATGGCGTTAATATATTCACTTATCATATTAAGCAATCTCCACGTGTGTCCTGAGACAACTTTTGACGCCACATGTTCTCAAACAAAACGAAAATGAGGGGTTTTGCTGGAAAGAAAACCAAAAACGCGGCATACGCCTTTAATGTTACAGCATATGGTTCTCGTGGTGCACTGTCGCTGATTGGCTGGCCCCTATTACGTCACGTGGCCAGTCGGTTTTACCCGGCGTCATTGCGTAGGGAGGCGTGTGTGACATTTGCGGTGCAAGAAGCTAGTTTGAGAACAGCTAACCGGGTAAAGATGAGGACCTAGAGAAGAAAGTAGGAAATATTTTTTCCGTTTAGCACCAGGGTCGAGTTTTGGCTTTGACTTGGTCATGGTTCCCCGATTAGAGAAGATATTTATGTCAAATGTAGCGTTTGGTAAAACTTCCTGTGTTGGCGAGCACGTTGAGTAGTTAAGCTAATGCCTTTTTTTCTGAACTTGTAGTAAACGTGCAGAGTTCAGGCTGAGGACGTGTTCCGGTTTGCTGTCCTGAGATGTCCGTACTAATATTTGATAACTGCAACTTAAGTTTATGCATTGCTGTATGGCTTTAAGCGCTTGAGCCGACTTGACAAACTGCGTTGTTTTTTTTTGCACACAAGGTTAAAATTAGCTTTAGCCAACTAGCTCCTCATTCCCTTCTTGCTGCAGCTTTCTCACTTTTCCTCCGCTGACTAGTCGGGACAGGTGTGCTGAAATTGGGACAGGTGTGTTGTGGGATACCCAGGGTGCACTGCTACTTAATCACGGCGTGCGCTGACAGTCCACTTCAGGGATTTTCTGTCACTTCAGTGGAGCCAGAGGTGCAATCATGCTGCTCTCTTTGGTTGTGCACACATACTCGCTGCGGTACTGGTTTCCTGCTACGATTATGCTGGGGACAGCCCCGGCTTATCTGCTGTCATGGGGGGCTTGGCGCTTGCTGTCAACTATCTTACCATCGAGTTTGTACCACAAAATAGACGACCGGTTGTACTGCGTCTACCAGAGTATGGTCCTATTCTTCTTTGAAAACTACACAGGAGTTGAGGTGGGTGATCCTCCACTTTGTGTGTGGGTTATTTTACCTACTAATATCTAGTCTACGAATAGAAAAACAGACTGTCTTAAGATACAGCTGCCTCTGGGTGCATATGTCTGCAGGTTTTCAACTTACAGCAGATTAAAGTCTGTGGAGAATGTTGCACTTTTTCAGGTCTCTGTATCTGTTAGAACTGTTGGGGTAAATGTATAACATTGTAAGAGTGTGTGTACACATTCAGCCCAGTTAACCAGATGGACCAGACACATTGCAAGAAAGTCTGCATTCTTTGGCACTGCTGTTGCCACACATAGAACAATAGGCGGTTTTCGTACGTTAAGGTGTGTTTACTGAAGGCACGTACAGTGGTGTAGCTGGCTGACCTTTGCCTTTGAAAATGATTAATCTCATAAATTCATTGCAGTATCCTCAAATGAAGGCTTCTTAAATGTGCTGTAGTGTTGGAGTAAATTCTTTAGGATTAATTGCAAAGACTCAAGTTTTAACATTTAATGAAACAATATAAATGTTAATTTTACAGTGATGTAAAATTAACTTTTTGCTGACACGTATACTGCCTTCAACCTGCTTTCTTTTCTTTTTCTGTAGATTGTTATTTATGGAGATATACCAAAGAACAAGGAGAATGTGGTTTACCTGTCAAATCATCAATGCACAGGTTCTTAATTTGAATATCAAGCTTTATAAAATGTAGTCCAATGTAAAGCACTATTCAAATATCTAACCTTTTCTTTTGTTATAGCTGACTGGATCATTGCTGACATGCTTGCCATCAGGCAGAGCGCTCTGGGTCATGTCAGATATGTCCTTAAAGATGGACTCAAGTGGCTGCCGCTATATGGATGGTATTTCTCTGAGGTAATGTATCTGTGTGAGTATGAGGAGGTCATTTTTAAGATTAAGAAGAGACCAGCTGCTTAATCTGGGGTGGCTGTAGTTCAGGAAGTAGACAGGAAGGTTGGTGGTTCCAGTCGCTGGCAAGATACTGCTAACCCCAAGTTGCTCTCTGATGCATCCATTGGAGTATGAATGTGTGTGACTGTTATATAAAAAGCACTTGAGTAGAAAAAAAGTGCTTGTTTTAATGGGGCAAGGTGTGTACTGCGTTTTGAGAGCTCGGAGTATAAAAGCATTTACCAGCTTGGCACTGTGACTGATATTTACTGCATTATTATACAACATGAGTGCTCATGGGTTACACCAGTGCTGCAACGTTGGCATTCCATTTGAACTTAACCTGTAAAGTTTCGTCACTTCATCTTGGATCATTAAGACATCATGGTAGTTAACCTGACATATTTTGCCACAGTAACACATACACAGATGGATATAAGGGCTGGTTTGGGGCAAGGGAAAAAAACAAAATGATTCTACCATGCTCGCCAGGTGTATGTATGTATGCATCAACATGTTTAAGTTGCGTTTCTTCTCTGTAAGAGTGGAAGGGAGTTGTCTCTGAATGCGCTGCATTGTTTGCAGCCTCAGCTTGGAATTTACAGATCTCAGAATAAAAAAGGCTAACCCCAGTGTGGCCGGGTGATTACCACAAACACTCTTCTAACATGTGAGAACGCTGTCAAAAACAGGAAGAGTCTTTGACACAAGAATTTTTTGTTTTTGTTTGTGTGTGGTGACTGGTTTGTAGCAAAGCTTTCGTCTCATCTCTAAAGTCTCAATTTGTTGTTGATGAAAGCACACCTAAGCCAAGAGACCACACTTAGCATTGGGGTCACACCATCTGTAATAAACATAATAAACCAAACCCATCTCTAAATGCAGCCTTCATTTTGCACAATTGTGTTCCATAGCATTAAAAAAAATCGCTGCTATAAACATATGTAGTGCTTTTCTACTCAGTAGAGCACTTTAAGTCTCACTCACCCAATCACTTCTATTCATACACGCACTTTTTACCAAATGCTTTTTTGTTTGTTTGTTTGTTTTGTAATACATCAACACTGTGATGTATGCATCAGGGACAACTCAGGGTTAACATCTTGCCCAAGGATACTCTGACACCGAGTAGAGCCGAGAAACGATCCACCAACCTTCTGATTAGTAGACCTGAACCACAGCTTCTCTATTAATTAACTACTCTATTAATCTCATTTGGATTTTTTTTTCTCTCTTCTACCTAGCACGGGGGAATCTATGTGAAACGAAGCTCAAAGTTCAATGAAAAGGCGATGAGGAAGAAGCTCCTTGCTCAGACTCAGCGTGGAGCACCGGTAACTACACATCTTCAAGTATTTCCTGAATGTAAATCTTTTTTTGTCTCTTAAGTTGAAACAAAAGAGGCTTCAAGATTTAAATTGCACGTAATTATATTCTTAAAACGGAAAGTCCAAAATGTTTTGTTCAAAGGTCATTTGAAGCCATTACCTTTTCAACACATTAATTTTTTTTTTACCTCCTGGAATATTTATGAAAACAAGATAGTAATTGAAATTAAAGTTATAAATATTTCAGGGTTTGTTTTGTTCTGTATCAGTAAAATGTTTTATTTTCTGCCGTGGGAAACAGGCAGCAGTTTTTACTCCATCTAAATGGATAACTGGATGTTTTTATGTGTTGAGATTCATTTGTTTTGTGTGTTTGCTGCGGTGCAAGGACTTGCTTTTAATCGCTTTTTTGGATTTGACTGTGGGGGATTAGTGTTGCCTGTGCGTATGTGTGTGTTGTAGCACAAGCCGTCATGGTTTCCAAAAGGCTCACTGTGAAAACTGTGTAACACAGTTCACTGCTGATAGTTCCTGTTCATATAATCAATTGTTAATGGAACAAAAATTTGGAAACTGAGACAAGAAACGTACGATCATATTAATAAAGACACAGATTTTCACAAATGGTTCAGTTTGGCTGGAATCGGTGAATCCCACTTGGCTGCGGATGCCAGTAATTCACATTGGTTCAAACTGCTGCATAGTTTCATTTGGTGCAAATGTTGTCATAAAGGCATCTGCACAGGTTGGGCAACAGTAGATGAATCAGATACAGCCGGGGCCTGGGAAGCAGGTTTTGTTTTCAGGTTAGCTGGAATCTAAACTGGTATGAATCAAGATAACCCGATAAAATGTTTTCATTTTCTTTTAAGCCTAAACAATGTTGGGTTTACAGATTCCTTCTCAACAAATAGTACATTTGTTAGAAAACTGTGTCTTTGATTTCATGTGCTTTTTCTCCTCATAGATGTACCTCGTCATCTTCCCTGAAGGAACTCGGTATAATCCAGACCTCAAGAATGTTATCGCTGACAGTCAGGCTTTTGCTGCGAAAGAAGGTAGAGTCATAACAGCAGCCACTCACTGCTGTACTTGTGCATACTGATTCAGTTCAGCCCACTCAGTCAGTAAAACAGCTGACTTAAATTTAGTTCTGAGACCTTCTTTGACCACTAAAACATAACCTGCAAATAAAACTTTCTTGAGCGTTAACAAATGAGAAAAACTGTATAAAACTAGAAGCAGACCTGGATTCAGTAGGATTAAGGACTCAGAAAGCCATATAAATGCTCATGAATATAAAAGATTATATGGAACAGTAAACATATCAGGTAAAAACCTCACTAAATAAAAAAACATTGTAATACTGGTGCTGCGCTGAGAAGTAGCCACGTTCCACCAGCTTTGTTATTTTGGCATCACCATGAAGTGCAATGAACTGAAACAGTTCAGGGGCTTGTGCTGCTTTCTGCTCACAAACAGCCTCGATTCTGCAGAGATTAGGACTATCTCGGCCTCTGCACTGAATATCACCTTCCCCCATTAATCCAAATAAATCGCTCTGGAGAGCTGACATGTGCGCATGACATTATCTGTTATTAGTGTGGCATTAGTGAGCAGAGGACGGTGGCACACCAACCTAGGATCCACCAAGCTTTGCTGTGAATATCTCAAACAGCCACATTCACATTTGTTTTTCTTCATTTTGCGGGGGATTCTAGCCGTCACCTGTTTTACAGTAGAGCAGTGGAGCTGGCAGGAAATGAGAAGAGATGGGGAGATGGCGCACAACAAAGGTTCCCATGCACACTCGTCATAGGAGTGTGGAGTTAGGAGCCGTCTGCGTGGCTCATAAATCACTAAGACACCGGGACTGTAATATGTAAAACACTGGTTGCATGTGCTGATAAGAAACAAATTTATGACGTTTTTTACATATTTTTCACAGGGCTCACTGTCCTGAAGCACACTCTAACACCCAGAATGAAAGCAGCTCATGTAGCCATCGATACTATGAAGGGCCACCTGGATGCTGTGTATGACGTCACTGTGGCCTACGAGGGAACGCTGGACAGCTCCGGGCAGAGGAGATCTGCACCAGCGATGCCAGGTATGCAGGGATATTGTTTTAGACACGAGTCGGGGGGGGTTCTGTTGTTGGTGTTACAGCTGATTACGCGCACCTTTATTTCTGTAGACGGCAGCTGTTGTTGCACGAGATATGCTTTGGTTTGCCCGTAACAGCGACCTCAGTTTGCTTTCTTCTTAATCAGTGCATCCTTAAACACACACACACGGAGTATTATTAGTCCTTCAACATTGTAAACGACGCCACCGGTAATTAATCACACAGCAAACATCACCTATTAACAGTCACACCTTCCTGTAAACAACATGACTCGGTGTTTTGGAGCCTTTGATTATTCCGTGTTCCCAGTTGTTCAACAAGCGCTCTTTGAATGAATTAAAAAAACAAAAAAACATCCCGTTTCAGGAATAAACATCTGTGTGTTTCTAGAAAACAGAACAGAGAATAGAAAAGCATTCCTGTCCTCACGCACTTCCTGGCCTCATGTGGCGAAGGTGACGGTGGTGATTTCACAAGGAGCTGGAAGTGACTCAAGGCTGCCAAAGCAAATGTTTCTTATCAGGGTGACTAAATTAGCATTCAGCATATTTCTGTAGTCCTTTAATAGGAGGATAAATTAGTGATTTACTGCACAATAGAAATTATAATATTTGCTGCTCCAATTCCTGCTTTACTTAACAAAAACAACAAAAAACACATTCTTAATATTAAATGTAATGCATTTCAAATCAGAATGGCTTGTTGATTTGATTGCAGCCATTTCAGTGCCTCTGTGGGAGGCCTTTTGTTTTGATAGCTGTAAATAAGGGGTGGTTTTTGCATCGCTACAACAACATTAGCATGTGGTCCAGGACTTTTCCTTCGTAGTCACAAAAACATGGTTTAAAAAAATGGTAGCAGCCAAAATGTGGAGACTTAAAAATAACTTTATTAACTTATTGGTTACTTGGATTTGTTCATTGACTGTGAAGGAGGGGGGGGGGGGGATAATGCTATTGCAAATAAAGTTTTATATCCCTTTTTTATTGAGTGTATTAAAAACAACAACACAAATCTTTAAACTGATTAAATTATAACTTAAGAACAAATGCTTGATTGTTACCGGTGATTACAAATTACGTTCTTATCTTCTGGAGTACTACTTGCATACGATTACACATATTTGCAATTTTGCTTTTGTACTTCACCGCAGCTTTTAAATCAGTTGATGTGATTGAAGTGCACATGTTCGGCTTTAAATGAAAGAGAATAAGAGAGAAAAATAATAAAATCCATGAAGTGTTTCTGAATTGTAGCAATTTTTATACGAAGTTCCCAATTTTTCATTGTCAAAATTAGATTGACAATAGACTGACAAGCAGTTTCATGGCCAGATGAAGACCCGTTCCTTTTTTTTTTTTATGATAAATGAAGGGGACGTGACATCTGAAGGTCAGTTGGTATGTTGACTTAGTATTTTACAGCTTCTCACTGTGATTGTAAATAAGGGACCAAAGATGTATTGGTGCATGTGAGGGAGGCTGTTGTTAAGCTGTCAGGTTATCAGAGAGAAGTTTTAAGTGTCCAAATCAACAATCCGCCAGCTGCCTTTGCTAAAAAGAAGACTGGCCAACATCAAAAGGCCTAAAAGACCACAGAAGACAGCTAAAGTGCACAGTGATGTTGAGAAAGACAACTTCACAACATCTAACCACACACAAAGTATACTCTCTCAAGGAGGCAGGAGTGTGATTGTCAAACACCTTGAATGCACGTGCAGAGGGGAGCGAACTCAGGAATGAGAAGGACAGATTACACTTTGCCAGAAAGCCTCTAAAAGCATCTGCACTGTTCTGCGATCATATTGGACCAAAGAAATAAACATGAACTTGTATCAATGAGAAAAGTATGGAGAGGGAAAGGTACAGCTCAGACCACCTGTCAAACATGGTGGCAGCAGTGTTGTGACATGGGAATCTGTGGTGCAGTCGGCTCATGCGAAATATTTGTTAAAGCTGTCACATTCCTGCTGAAAGGTGCATGTTAAGAAGGTAAAATTGTAAAGACTATCCTTGTTTAAAATATTATGGTCCAACTTGTAACTGCACCGCTCATGGTAGCAATCGGTTTCTTTCAACTCGCGAGATCAAAGATTCCCTCTCTGTTTTTATTAAAGATATTTGGATCATAGCGAGTTGTTTGTCACTTCACAGCAGAGTTGTTTTCCCTTCCAGGTGGTTGTTTTTTAAAGGTTGTTTTGCAGCATTGTTCTGCTCAAACACACATGACATGCAGTCATTGAGACTGAGCTTTGATTTATGAAACGCTTTAAGAGTCTTTTAGCCTCTCTGTGCCAAACACGAGTGTCTGCAGCCAAGAAACCCAAAAACAGGATTTAACCCCCCGCAAGCACGAGGAGGAAATGCACCAACACTGCTTTGCACCTTAAGAATGACTCCGGCGTTTTTATTGTGCGTTACAGTAAAAATATTTTCGTGCCTTCAGCCGTCAACGAGTTGTCGGCGCTCGTTAAACTGGCACACATTGTGTGCAAAGGTCAATTTAAATCCGGGCAGCCGCTGATGGAGGTGCTCTCTCCAGCAGTCTTTCGCTGCCGACTTCGATCAAGTTTCCTCTTTTGGCCTCAGTGCCACATTTCCTGATGATATTGCATGTTGTGGAAACAGGAACTTGAAGGTCTCTGGGGATAGACGAGCAGCCTTGAGCGTTCACACTTGGTTACGCTTTTATATATGACCTCCTCAGACGTGTGACTTTCTGTTTCTTTGCTTAAGTGCAGACTGACAGTTGGATTTTAACATATTGTATGAAGAAAAGTTGAAACTGAAACATTAAATCTATAATATTTGGAAAGATGTTTTGTCTTTTGTGTCATATAATGTAACACCGGTGACTGTTTTGGAATTACCTTTAAGTGATTTCCTTCCTTTACTGGTCTTTACTGGGCAATTGCATCACAGCAGCTCCAGTCCATCACTGTCACCTCGTGTTGGTTTTTAAGTGCTTACTGTACGTGTCGTTGCACTGACAGGCTTTTCCTGTTTTTGATTGGTCTTTTTATGGATTTATTTATTTTTTCTCTTTGACAGAATTCCTCTGCAAAGAATGCCGCCGCATCCACATACACTTCGACCGTGTGGACATAAAAGAAATTCCCTCGGAGCCGGCGTTTTTCCGCAGATGGCTGCACGATCGCTTCGAAATCAAGGACCGGTGAGTGTGTGTGCGTGCCTGTGTGTGAGAGCATGTACACGCACTTGTGTCTGGAGTAATTAATCATGTTGAAATTGCATGTCATCTAGTCAATATGTGAGCTGCGAGGTGTTTTTGCAAAACGACTTCTTTTGTGTGCCACCGCTCTGTTACAGAGAGATAAACCTTAACTTTGTGTTTCTGTAGTTAGAATAAATTAACACAGTACCAACTTAATATTCAACCAGTAAAATATAACAAAGGGTTTGTTTCACAGGTTTCCAGCTGGAAAACATAATTATTTACTCTACATATCTCTTCTTTTTTTTGTATACGATGCTAACTAATTAATTACTAATAAAACAATACCAGGTAGTCATTATGAAGTTAATAATTAATAAATCATTTATTTTAATAAGCTTTCTCATTTAGATAAAGATCGTTTGTTAATCAAGACCTGTGAACAAAAGACATAAACGACAAATCGACCCGTAACAAAAACGGTTACACATGTTGGCAAACTGAGAAAAGCGTGTCTAAGGGTTGTTGTGACGGTGAAAGAACACAATGTGGTTTTGACTTTATGTAGTTGTGGACAACAAACTGTATATAAGAATTGCTTCTTGGCACACAGTTTAGTAAGTAAAAAAAAAAAAAAAAGGCTGCTTCAGGCACGCGTGTACAATTGGGTCAAATGTGGTCGCCGATTTGCTCGTTAATTAAATTGTCTTTACACTGACAGCTCGTCGCGGATAGCTTATTCGTTTTTAGTGAGAAACACAGAAAAGTAAGGTTTTCTTTTGTGCCTTCTCTGGTGTGATTATGTGACATTACCTCTGGAGAAACCATTTGAATAATGGTTTTGTGACATTTCCATGTGGGCACAGACAGAGAAGGGTCTAGATCAGTGGTGTCAAATTCAATTTACGTCATGGTCTAAGTACACTTAAGTTTAAGTGGTCCAGATCAGCTCATTTCAGCTTCATAACCTGTAAAAAGAAATAAATGTCCCCTTTTTCTCTGCTTCAAAAAAAAAGTTGACCTGCACATTTTAATCCACGAGGTGTTTTAAGAAAGTCTTTTTTTTTTTTTTTTTTTTTTTTTTTTTTTTCTCTCTCTCTCTCTACGTGATGAAGAAATCAAGGTCAAAGGTGTAAAACTGCATATAAAAGTACTGGTAGCTCATTACCTGTATTGTAAATTCCACTGTAATAAACTTTAATTTTATTTACTGTTATACTAATGACAAGAAAACATTTGTTTTGGTATTCCTTTGTTGTAGTATAACAGACCATGTGTGATTTCTTAGTCTGTAAGAAAGATGTGAAAGTGACAAAAATAGTCTCAAAAGTTTTTCTCTCCTCATCCTGATTTCATGAGACTTTTTTTTTTTTTCTTTCTTTTCAAAGGCTGCTGACCAATTTCTACGAGTCGCAGGATTCCGACAAATTATGCAAGTTCCCCGGTGAGGGCAAACCTTCTCCGCTGAATCTCTCGAAAACCCTGCCCTCCTTGGTCATCCTTGGGGGACTGACACTGCCAATGCTGCTGACAGAAAAGGGCAGGAAGCTGTACGTGAGAACCTGGGTGTGTGGGACGCTGCTGGGCTGGCTGTGGGTAAACATTTTTCCCTAACAAATCGAGGCCAGTCTGCCACGATGAGACGCACAAAAGACTCGAGACGGTGCCATTTTCCTGTATCGCGACACAATGTATGCTCCAGATGCAGAGCAGTATGTGATAAAAGGCTCAGAGATATTTTTGTTTGACTGTTTGACCGGAGACACTGAGAAATGTTAGCCTTTTGTGCTACTTGCTCCCTCCTCAACCTGAAATGACAAAACCTTTGTTAAAGTATTATATTCCCCAAAAGTTATTGAAATAGCTTCATACCTCTATTAAAATAACCCCTCCTTCCTTTCATCGGATTTAGCCAAATTAGTATCCTTGCATGCTGTTTTCTTCTTCTTTGGTCTTTGGCCAGTTTAGTTCTAATTATTTCTGAGAGCAAAGTGTGCCAAGCACTCTAAAAACACATGCAACGATCACGGTCGGCTGCTGTACTAAAGAGCACAGCCTGCTGCTGATTGATCATTTAAGTGCACTGATTTATTGGTATTGGTTGTAATGTTTGTCTTGTTTCATGCCAAGTCTCATATCAGGAAGAAATGCACTTTTCCCCCTCGTATAAGGTGATGTTTGTTTTTGTTTTTTACATTGGTCGAACAACATGCAGTCCTCTACACGGGCCCATACGGGTGACACCAGCTACATTGTTTATTTTAAATAATCATCTTTTGTTTCCTCACTGTGAATGTAGCCGTAAGAACAAGTATATTTGTGGATCTGTGAAAGACTAGCCCCTCCCCCTTTTCTCTTTTCAGCTCAGCCTTTTTTGTCAAGAAACACTGTTGGAGCTCGCAGTGGAGGACTGTCAGTGAACTTGTTCCACTAATGTAAATCATTACTTCCACCTTTAAAATCGTCAGTCATTGCCAAAACCTGTTGCGTTTTGTTTTTCCACATCGTCCCACTGAGAGCGTCTCTGCCGTCGTCGACAACGTATTGCTCAACTTAAAACACGCAAAGAGGCTTTACGTGTTTGTTCCTCTGAGTTAATAAAGAAAATCTGATTTTTTCATAATTATTCATAACTTTTCTATATGCATTTGTTACGACCGTGTTAAGGTTCACGTCTGTCTACCTAACAAAACGCTGACAAAGCCATGTTAACAGTATATCGCAGGTTTCCTGTGCACTCAAAGCCATTTGTATTTTAAACATCATTGTATCGTGAAATGCACTGTATGTCTGTTGTCGTTGTTTACCATGAAAGCGTTGCATTTTCCACACGTCACTTTACGTATTTACGACCTCCTGTAGCCTGATGTGTTTTATTTCCTTGTGTGGATGGTATAGTAATTTACATCTTGCTCTAATACCTCACTTGAATAATCCTTCCTTGTTTTTAAATGACCTTTGTCAGCCATTTTCTAGTCATTTTTATCCAGACGAGCTCTGACTGTAACTCATCAGGAAACTCTGTAGACAGTGTATTAAATGCCAACTGTTTTTGGAAATGCGTGCCTTCTCTTTGGAGGAGTCGGTCCTCGGCCGTCTCACAGAGCGCCACGGTGGCTCTATTTTCTTTCCGCCAGGTGACTGCACAGATGCTCTCTGCTGGAGCTGCTGCTCACTGCAGCATGCGGCAATACTGTCTACAGTTCATAGTGGCTTATTTTCCTCTAAGAATGCATTGATTTACACTTGAGGACTATTATTAAATGGTGAAACCTTTAATGCGTGTAAGTTATGGAAGTTGGGGGTGAGAATGAAATAAAGTGGTTTTCCTGGGCAAGTTGTCTCTTCTCTGTTGCTCTTACTGCTTTGATTATAAGTTTGATATCAGATATATGTAGAAGATGCATACTGTTCTGCCTCTGTATTATTTATATATATATATATATATGTGTGTGTGTGTGTGTGTGCGTGCGTGTGCGTATATACACGTATGTATATACACGTATGTATATATATGTGTATAATATATGTGTGTGTGTGTGTGTATGTGTATGTGTGTGTATATGTATATATGTATATGTGTATATGTGTATATGTGTATGTGTGTATGTGTGTATGTGTGTATGTGTGTGTATATGTATGTATATGTGTGTATATGTATGTATATGTATGTATGTATGTGTATGTATGTATGTGTATGTATGTATGTATATGTATGTATATGTATGTATATATGTATATATGTATATGTATATGTATATATATATGTATATGTATATATATATGTATATGTATATATATATGTATATATATATGTATATATATATGTATATGTATATGTATATGTATATGTATATATATATGTATGTATATATATATGTATGTATATATATGTATGTATATATATATGTATGTATATATATATGTATGTATATATATGTATGTATATATATGTATGTATATATATATGTATGTATATATATGTTCTTCCTCTACCCCCCCCCCATTTTTGCACATGTCGAGGAGCGTGTCAGGCTACATTTCACTGTGTGTTATACTTGTATGACTATGCATGTGACAAATAAAGAACCTTGAACTTGAAACTTGGTGCAACTCTTCAGTTTGTCTTGAATATAAAATGAAAGCAAAGTGTTCTCGCCTTTTGTGAAGCTGTTTGTGCTTCAGACCTGAGCTTGTGTGTTCGTGTGTTCATGTCTCCATATTCCCGAATATGTAAATTAAAGATCATTTTAAAGTAAAAGACCACTTTTGAGCCGTTTCTTTCTTGGCCCTAAGAATACTAAAGAACCGGGATTAACAAGAGTCACTGCAGGACTAAACTAAAGTTTAGTTTAGTTTAAGTTTTACTATAAGTCAGCATGACTGCAGCATTAGATCCAGATCAGATCTTTCCTCATTCTGATTGTGGGCAGGTTATTTCAATGAGTAGAGCTCTTAAGAAGGAATTGAAATTGAAAATGATTCATTGATGTACAGAATTCAATTTGAAGTATTTGGTGCTTAGAATTTGATGGCCCATCACTGTTGACTTCAGACCACAGATGTGATTTCTGATGGAGTTTTGCATTTAAAACCTGCAGACTTTGTTCCTTTAAGCTAACAACACAAATCATGTTTCTTACTGAGACGTTTTGAATGTTTTATGACGACTGCAGCCTTTTGTTTCCTGTGGCTGAAGCTAACCAAATTATACAGTGGGGCAAAAAAGTATTTAGTCAGCCACCGATTGTGCAAGTTCCCCCACCTAAAATGATGACAGAGGTCAGTAATTTGCACCAGAGGTACACTTCAACTGTGAGAGACAGAATGTGAAAAAAAAAATCCATGAATCCACATGGTAGGATTTGTAAAGAATTTATTCGTAAATCAGGGTGGAAAATAAGTATTTGGTCAATAACAAAAATACAACTCAATACTTTGTAACATAACCTTTGTTGGCAATAACAGAGGTCAAACGTTTACTATAGGTCTTTACCAGGTTTGCACACACAGTAGCTGGTATTTTGGCCCATTCCTCCATGCAGATCTTCTCGAGAGCAGTGATGTTTTGGGGCTGTCGCCGAGCAACACGGACTTTCAACTCCCGCCACAGATTTTCTATGGGGTTGAGGTCTGGAGACTGGCTAGGCCACTCCAGGACTTTCAAATGCTTCTTACGGAGCCACTCCTTTGTTGCCCGGGCGGTGTGTTTTGGATCATTGTCATGTTGGAAGACCCAGCCTCGTTTCATCTTCAAAGTTCTCACTGATGGAAGGAGGTTTTGGCTCAAAATCTCACGATACATGGCCCCATTCATTCTGTCCTTAACACGGATCAGTCGTCCTGTCCCCTTGGCAGAAAAACAGCCCCATAGCATGATGTTTCCACCCCCATGCTTCACAGTAGGTATGGTGTTCTTGGGATGCAACTCAGTATTCTTCTTCCTCCAAACACGACGAGTTGAGTTTTACCAAAAAGTTCTACTTTGGTTTCATCTGACCACATGACATTCTCCCAATCCTCTGCTGTATCATCCATGTGCTCTCTGGCAAACTTCAGACGGGCCTGGACATGCACTGGCTTCAGCAGCGGAACACGTCTGGCACTGCGGGATTTGATTCCCTGCCGTTGTAGTGTGTTACTGATGGTGACCTTTGTTACTTTGGTCCCAGCTCTCTGCAGGTCATTCACCAGGTCCCCCCGTGTGGTTCTGGGATCTTTGCTCACCGTTCTCATGATCATTTTGACCCCACGGGATGAGATCTTGCGTGGAGCCCCAGATCAAGGGAGATTATCAGTGGTCTTGTATGTCTTCCATTTTCTGATGATTGCTCCCACAGTTGATTTTTTCACACCAAGCTGCTTGCCTATTGTAGATTCACTCTTCCCAGTCTGGTGCAGGTCTACAATACTTTTCCTGGTGTCCTTCGAAAGCTCTTTGGTCTTGGCCATGGCGGAGTTTGGAGTCTGACTGTTTGAGGCTGTGGACAGGTGTCTTTTATACAGATGATGAGTTCAAACAGGTGCCATTCATACAGGTAACGAGTGGGGGACAGAAAAGCTTCTTACAGAAGACGTTACAGGTCTGTGAGAGCCAGAGATTTTCCTTGTTTGAGGTGACCAAATACTTATTTTCCACCCTGATTTACGAATAAATTCTTTACAAATCCTACCATGTGGATTCATGGATTTTTTTTTTCACATTCTGTCTCTCACAGTTGAAGTGTACCTCTGGTGCAAATTACTGACCTCTGTCATCATTTTAAGTGGGGGAACTTGCACAATCGGTGGCTGACTAAATACTTTTTTGCCCCACTGTAGCTTTGTAATGACTATTGTTAATGATTTGTGATAAATACTGCGATTGTTCCACCAGCACATTTAAACAGAGCAGAGAAACAGCACAAACATGCTCATGCGTGTCTGTAGGATGGTAAATATTTGTTTTGCTTCTTCGGTTCAAATTATTATTCCAGATGTTTTGATGTCATATTTCAGATGCTTTATCATTAAAATGTTTGGGAACCGAAAAAATAATTTTTTTAGCTAATTACGTCACACAGCGGAAATTTGTGTTTTTATGTTTTATCAATCTGTGTATTGGTACATAGTGTTGATTTTATTTGCATGATTTTATAGTGATATTTATATTGCATGTTTGTTTGTTGATATTTATACTGCATGGTTTTATCCTCATATTTATATTTGTGTTAATGTTGTACCATGTTCCTTTAACCCACTGTGGACTAAACAGATAATTGTAGGCACCTGTGAGGTGGGGGCGTTCCCCAAGGTGGCCTATCAGCCGCCAGGTTGACCTGTTAAAGGGGATGGTGAGCGCAGAGACAAAAGGAGAGAGGAGTGACGCGCGAAGGGTGAGGAGGCGAAAAAGGAACGCGTGCAACCCCGCACGTGTGTGGAACGAACTGCTGCCTGACTGTGGGGCGCCGCGAGTTGTTCGGCGATCCAGTCCTAACGGCAGGAACGGCAACAGTGGGTGGCGATGGCTGCAATGCACGACAGGGCAGGGATGCCCCTCTGCCTGCATCTGACGGTGAGACGAGGGAGGCCGTGTTCAGGTGTGGAGTGGGGCGGGACTGTGCGGCGACGCGCTGTCAGGAGGAGACAGGTCTGCGATAGGAGCCTCCTCCATGGTCTGCTGCTGACGAGTTTTACCATACTGGAAGAGAAGTTCCTCTCCTGTCTCTTTCATATAAGGACCATTCTCCTGTCCTCGCCCATGTGTGGCTGGACTGTGGGATTATGGGACTATGGGAGAGTAATTTTAGCATATGGAAAACATGTTTTAGCCTTGTTTTAATAGTGTATAGTTATTTCTGCCGGCAGGGTTTTTAGCGGGTTGCAACACTATTTTTATTGAATTTTGTCTTGTATTTGACTCTGGCTGTGTTTTTTTTATGGAAATAAATGGTGTTTGAAGCCAGTTAAGTTTCTGTGCCCTGAGCGCTGACACACCCACTCCCCTTTTTCGCTTGTATGTATACCAGATGTGGTGGTGAAGATTTAGGTCCACCAGTCTTAGCGGCTACAATTACGTCTGCATAATATTCTGGCTTCATGTGATGTTTATAGATGTGACTGCATGTTAACTGCAGTTTGATCTATCTGTCTGCTGATTTGTTGACTTTGATCTTTTAAGTGGGGCAGGATTGGAAAAACTAACTCTGAACATGAGGAGGAGGAAGTGGGGAATTCTTCTTTTTCAGTTCACAAGATCACAAAAGCGAGCACGACACAAATCGCACCACAAACTGATGATTTGCCCGGTTCTTAAAAGATGCTGCTCATCCCAGTGTTGTAACAGGTCAGCCCTGCTCTGCTCCACTCTGAAACTGGGATGTGTTTATGTGAAGCTCAGCACATCAGAGTGATGTCCAGCTAGATTTGTTTCTAGAAGAGGAGACAATATAGAATATAGAGAAAGTAACGCGGCCTGCAGGACTGATCATCATGATGCGGTACAACAGAAACCACTGATTCCTGTTGAACCACAGGACGTAGAGCTCAACGCTGAAATTTAGCCTACTGCTATCACAGAGTTACGGCTCTCTCCCTTTTCATTTGGAGAGACGTTAAAATAACTACCCAGATTATTATTGCACTATTTATTTACCGGGTCACTTGATGAGATTTGCATCTATGCATCCATTTTATTTTCTTTTTATTTCTGGGTGAAAAAAAGAAAATATATATCAGGATACCTGACTCCATTGTTCCAGGGTTTGGTTCACGGGGCTAGCAGTCATAGCAAAGAAGCCAGACTCTGCCACCTTATCAGGGAGAGCACAGAGGTGTTCTCAAACCAGACAAGAGATA